TTTTACAGCGAAATAACCTCGCTATAGCGCATAAAAAGGATGTAAATGGCAGAATTAAAGCTTTAAAAAGTGAACCTCAAAATGAACGTTTTCGATGCCCCCCTTTTTTTTGTAGGTACACGAGGTTTTACACTAATACACTATTCAAAAGAGTGCGCCGATTTAACTTTACTGACCCAGGTTCGAAATTACGAAACTCCGATTTTCAACACCAACATCAAAGGGAGACCACTTTTTTCAATGAACTTTTTTTTTATCTTTTAGCTTTTTGTGGAGTGGCGAAAATGGTTTTTGGTCGAAAAGTTTTTCGATTAGCATTTTCTTTTTTTTATAAAAGAGGATATTGAAATAATATGATTATATTAATTTATAATCGTGAACATTAGCTTCAATCAAAAAAGAACTATAACTTTAGAGTGCACAGAAAATTCGATATAATCAAATAATTCAAAATCAATTCAATTAGAAGCACAATCACATACTATATATGTAACAATTGCAACTGTTCGCCCAACTCCATCATCATACCGTTGGCGCCCCCATCGTTCAATGTATTGCAGGTTAATTGTCATTAGACGTAACTGCAATCAAACAACCGTTGTTGCAGCCACCATAACCAAGAACCGCCACCACGCCGTTTCCATACACAACGGATATCGCTATCAATCATCTCATCCCTCCGGCCCAAAGCATTATCCGAAATAACCCGAACGCGACGGATACGTAATAGCGACGTTACGACGCCCGTTTCGAAGGCACGCATCGACGGTTTTGGAGAACGAAAATGATGTTAATTGATTTATGGATGTTTAGGTATCATGTTGGTGGTATCGATCGTTTGGGTTGACGTTGATGAAAATTGGGTTCATGTAATTTAGTGCTTCATTTCTATGAAAACTAATTAACATTTGATTAAAAAGAATTAAACTAAAAGAAGTTATTTCATGATCTTTGCGTGGCTGTCTGTTACAAATTTTTGGTCCGAAATGCAGGTGCTTTGGAGAAATGCGCCAGTTCGTAGAATTTTAACAGTCATTTGTATTTTAAATTCAGCCGGCTAATCATATTATTAGCACACAAGATTTTAGTAAATTATCACAGATATACTTATATATTTTTGTACGTCTGGATGAAGTGGTGATCCTTTTTGCTTAACCCTTTGTGTCTCGACGGTACTTTAAAGTACCGGTAGTTTTAAACACTCATTTTAAACTGTAGTCATCTATTCGGCGCACTTAGAGCTGTCGGTACTTTCTACTATACAAGAAAGAGGGTTTTTAGGTATATTTAAATTTATTCATCCAGATGTGAGGTTAGAAGTTTAATGAAAAGTGGTGTTGTTGAATTTTGTTGTTCAAAAATCTCTTTGATAAATGGTTATTAGGTGTGAGTATTA